CTCCCCCCGCAGCTGGGACACGGCCGCGCTTGCCAGCGACCGCCGCCCTGCGACGGCTGGACTAAGCTGATGCGTTGGTTAGTCAGGCTTGAGGGAGGGAGACAGGCAAGGGGCACTAGGGTGCGTTTGCCACCAGACCCCCAGGCCTAAGCGTACAGCCCAGCGCCAGCGCCCGCCTCTCTGCTCCCCTCCGCGCAGTGCCCAACCCGCCTCGCCCCACTGTATTATCCGCTTCAGCGCTGGGGCGCCCGGGCCGCTGATTGGTGGGTTGCTGGGCGGAGAGCGCTCTGATTGGCGGTACGGGCCATCGATTCCCTCCCTCTTCTCTCAACTCTCCGCCTCTGGCGTGGTCTGCCAGCTGCCGATGACACTAGAGTGGCCAGCCTCTGCGACGCGGGCGGTGTGGGGGAGCCACTGTTTATCCTTCAGGCCTGCAAACACTGGGCGCCCCCCTGTATTGTAAACACATGGGTAGAGGGAGATTTTGCTTGAGGTCAAAAGAGAGGAATCACAGCCAGCGGAATGCTTATAAAATAATGCAACAAAAGGCGCCGGGAAATAAAACTGTCGCTTTATAAGCAGTGCGGCCATTAAGATTAAAGCCAATTTAAAATATCCAAAATAATACCAAGTTTCCTTATGTGATTAGGAGTTTTTTTGTAGCTTCATCAAGTACAATTGGTAATGGCCTTTTAAAAATCAGAAAATGGAACCGAACCCTGTTTTATTATGAATCATAATAATTGATTATGATTAAAGGGCAGTTATACTGTGCATTTACGTTGAACGTTTTCTTCCTTTAATTGTCACAGGAATAATATTCCCCAACAAATCTCATAGTCCTGATTAATCGTTTCAGTTGTGTCGGGTATGTTTTATAGTGTAATTCCTTCGCAAGATAAAAGTGGGAAGCTGAGAGAAAGTCAGAACATCAAAGTCTGGGTTATCCTGGGGGTCAGGGTATCCTCAGAACTAGCAGTTTTATCCAAAAGTTACTTTCAGACACGAAGTGACCAGGGAAAAAATGTACAGAATCAGTCTCTCCAACATTGAGCTGATTGCGAGTATTTTCATCTATATCGTTATTTTTCAAGACTCTGATTAATTGTTATATTATACAAGAAAATATATTACAGTATGCATACACACAATATAAAGCGGAATATTTATCATAGTATTTATATAAGTACACACGCGTACGATATCATTTATACATATACCAACTGCGCCTACACAGTCAACATCTGCATTAGATATATCAGAAACTTGGCCTTGTTAAGTAGGGCTTTGAAATCCCAATGAGTCAAGTCGATCCGGGTTTGTTTGTTTCTTTCCTTAGATTTCTGCATCTCTTTTTATGGTGTGCGGATGATTGTTTAGATTGTGAAATGTGTTTGGAGGTTCGCACCGGAACGTTCACGCTCAGCGAGCTAGCGTTCCCCTGTCCGCCTGGCGCTGGTCTCGGGCAAGACCAGATAACATCTCATCTCCATCACCTTTAGTCCTCTTTAGGGGAACAACTATACATCTGCGCCTGGAGAAACAAGAAGCAACTTCTCCCTAAGCTTATGTCTTCCCATCTTGGAAAGGGCGGGGAAGAAAAGCCAAGGGTATAAACAAGAGCGAAAGCATGAATTTACAAGAGAAGCATCGCTTTAAATGAGCTTTTGTTTAGCAGATAGGTGACGCTTTAAATATCTCGGGGTGACTCCATTAGCTTTCGTCTTAGCTTGACATTTATATTTTACCTACGTTGCCTTTTTCGGGGGGGAAAGGGGGGCGAGGAACTTCTTCTCATAGCTGTGTTCAGGTTAGAGGCATATGCACCAAACGATTATAAAAAGCAATCGCTGGTTGGGTCGTTTCAAATATTTTAAAGCAATCACACCATCAGTTTTGTATACGCGTCAGAGAACAAAGTATAGAAATCTGTCAGCGGGACCGAGTTAACTTGAGGTGGAGGAGCTTGTTCTATAAACTCAAAATAAACAAATTAAAAGTGAGTGTTCCCTGAACGCGATTGACTTTAAATAATTGTTATCTACAGTGAAAACAGTTCCCGTCAGTAGGAGTCTGTGTACTGTAAACGCCTCACCCGGGGAAATCAACCTCAGCTGCCGAAATCAGGAATATCCTTTCCAGTTAGACCCGAGCCGCAAACTGAGCGGGGCCATCTCTGGCCAGTGTTGCCTCGTGAAAACCCTTGGGCAGGAAGCCTGTTCTCCCGCAAGGAATCCGATCCTGCCCAGGGGCAAAAATCCCTTGGACAACCAGGCCCTAATGTTAGTTTTAAATCCAAGGCAAAAACTGTCCTGCTCACATTCCCACAGGCTCCTTTTTCTCATCCGGGGCTAAAACAAGCCCGGACAGAATGGATCGGTCCCAATTTCCCACAGGCTCCTTTTTCTCATCCGGGGCTAAAACAAAATGGATCGGTCCCAATAAGTCCCGTCAGTATCTATGGGGAAAACTTAAAAAACAACAAATAGTCTGGTAGCACTTTATAGACTAGCAAAACATGGAGATGGTATCATGAGCTTTCGTGGGCACAGCCCACTTCTTCAGATGGGGTTCGTTTCTAAACCCTTATTTCTCAGTGTGTAGCTGTGCTTTCCCGGTGTGCAGCGGAGGTGTCTGGCTATTGGACCGAGCAACAGAAAGTCCTGGGACAGGGCCAAGCAAGCTGTTACTGGATTGAATTCTGCAGTTTTCCTTTGTGTCTTATTCGCGACAGGATTTTGAAGATTGACTCCCCACCTTAACCACATGACAGGGGGTTGCTTAGTTATGAATGAGCCAGGGCCTGAGAGAACCATTTCATGGGCTCATCTGATGGCGACTCGAAGGAAATAAATGTCATTGACCTTCATCAGTCTTAGGGAAAATCAGAGTGAAATCTTGGCCTCATTGAAGTCAATGAAAAAAGTCCCAGTGATTTTGATGGGCCCAGTATTTCCCCACCGCGAGCTCTGAGCGCCTTGAGACTTGCTCGTTTTCTTTCCATGCGTCACAAGCTTTCTCCCACCCGGCATACTACTCAGCGTTTTTGGCACCTTGTAGACCCTAACCGAACGGAGCGTAGGAATTCTCTGGGCAGCTGGTTTATGATGCTATGGTTTTTGGTGGGGACACACGGAGATTTGTTTGTTTAGTTGCTTGAATTGATTCATGTGCAATAAGCCTCTCACTTTTCCCAATTCACCATTTATTGGTCAAAAAAAATTCC